TATTCCTAATTGTGGTGGACTGACTGGATTATGCGTCAGACAGTGAGTGGGAAACGAGAAGACAGGAATATCCTGGACCGACGTGAAGAACCTAGAAGACCTGGATTTCGCGCGTGGATCATTTATGTTTGATGTCACTGTCACAAAATCGAAGACTTACAAGCGAAAACCGACTGACAAACCGGTCGAAGAAGCAGGTAGTGAAGTCAGGACTCCATGTGAACATAGGTGAACAAGACGGAGGTTATGAAAATAACCAACCAACAACTACAACAACAGCAGCAGAAACATCCAGTGTCAATCACTATCAACGGGAGGGATTTGAAGAAAGAGGTTACTACATTCATTCACTTATCCAGCATCGAGCATTGTCTCAACTACAGGCAGTCGGAACTGACGAGGATGTCAAATCGAGCGAGAATCGGGAAGGCGAGTGAGAAACACATTCATCAACCAACCTGAAACCAATATGGAAATCTTCGTCACTCAGCGAGCATCAACAACAAGATTCGGTCGGATTTTCAATACAAACAGCGTCAAGTCAGTCAGTTCTTCTACACGGAACGGATCAGAAAGTTGGCGGGCGAGTCACAAAGAACAGGTATTTCCAACAGCCTGTTGCAGAACTTTATCAACCAACAACTGTCTTCGCTGGCTCTATACTGAACTGAAGATCAGATGGCCGGAAAGAATTACCAACAAGAAACTATGGGAAGAAAGGAAACAACAACCAGTCTCCAACCAACAAATATGTAGGAGAAAGTGGATTGAGATGGATTGGACACCCACTAGCTGAGGAGACCGCTGGGTGACATCGCGCGCGCGTCAGGCCATTGCTCGAGTGGAATCAGGCCGAAATGGAAGCGGCTAGTGGGACGTCAGTGCAAGGGTGACATGGAGGAGATCGTGTGAAGAGCAGTCGAAAGAGCATGGACTAACATTGATGCAGGTAAAAAGTAGAGCAGAAGACAGAAGCAAGTGGAGACATGCAGTTGAAGCCCTATGTTCCACTAGGAACCCAAGGGAATAATAATAACAGAAACTTCAAGCCACTAGCTTGAGGCCCTATGTTCTACTGGGAACGTGAACGAAAAAAATAGGAGGTTCGAACCCATCACATTTTGATTAAAAGGCGAGCTCGTAGACCATTAAGCCGCTGGACCTGTTCCAATGGCCAGTGCATGAACTCCACCTCCTGCCGATTCACGATATAGCGCGATCACTAGCCAATGTCATTGTCGGCGAGTATTTTTCCTTACATTCTGTCTGCTGTACCCCACTGGTCACGACTTCCAATAGTTCTCTAACCGATGTCAGCTCACGATGAAATCCTGTAAGCAATCAAATCAAATCTCTGCAAACCAACACTTGAACACTTTAAATGTTGTTCCAAGTATTATGTGCCATAATTCCAAATTATTTTTTGAAAAATGTATCAGAGTAAAATAGAACTACTCACAGAAGCCATCTGATAGCGATGGAGATGTACCGCTGAAACTTAATATTCTATTCAGAACATTTTTGTTATAAAAAGCCCCAAGTATTGCAATTGGAATGCTGAGAGCCAACTAATGCTTCCTTCTATATAGCCTATCAAACTACTGAGAGTCATGCACAGCTAAAAACCATATATTCTAAAAGAATCAAAGGCACATACGGATGTGATAGAATCTTTGGCTCTATTTAACAATGATTAATTACATCAAAAATACAGAATTACCTCAAAAGTCTCATCTGGCAGCTATACAGTAGTTCGAAAGTTTTTCAGATACCAAAATACATACTTTGCGACAAATTAATCAGACAAGCACGCACGAAGTTGCACTACTGAAACAACACACTATTATCAACAGCCCAATATCACACAACAGTAAATTAAACCGTTAAAATTACAGATCAACCACAAAACAAAGACAAATAATCAGGATGGAGCTACAAGAATATATTCAAATGTCAGAACAATAACATACAAGTCAGTGGAAGAGGGTACTAATCACAGAGCTGGTTGAAATATTCAAATAATTATGCATGTCGTAAATAGACTTGTTCATGTAGGGATTTTTAAATCTATTGTTCTGACACAATTTCGAACTGAAATTCTTGTCCATAGTCACAAACTTGTAGTATAAAACCTCAGTACTTATAACTGTAATCCTTTCTACTGAGGAGTTGGGAAAGAATTCAGATGTCTGAAATAGATATTACGTTGCCCATGATGCTTGTTTTCAGTGTTATCTCAGTAAAAAAAAGGTCTAGATGATCGACCTTTCGTTTAGAGAAGTAAGCTAACAAAATACCATCGTATAATGGTAGTATAGCTTCTGATTTCATTCACAGTTACAGTTGATCTTCTTTTTCTAATTTCTATTTTACAGACAAGTCTACCATGTCCGACCACAATAAGCAGCCATGAACTGGAAACCTGAGTGGCATCAGTACATTAATGTGTCCAGAATGTTAGTAAATAATGATATTCATATATATATATATATATATATATATATATATATATATATATTGGCAGAAGAAGCGTCCAGATAAGATAGGACTTCAGGTTAACATAGAGAAAACAGAGGTGATGAAGATTCCTGGCCAACAGCCACAGCAACAACAGACGACAATCAGCATAAATCGGAGGGAGCAGAAAGAAAAAACTTCCTTTACTACCCACCTACCTGGGAAGCCTCGTTTCAACTACAGGCGGACGGAATTGATGAGGATATCATCAAAGAGAGGATCGGGAAAGCGAGACACGCTTTCATCACTCTCAAATCTGTGTGGAGATCAACAGCCCTCAGCATGAAAAATAAGATCCAGATTTTCAACTCCAATGTGAAGTCAATGCCATTATACGTATCAGGGACTTGCACTGCGCATCACGAAGGCCACTTCAAAAAGACTACGCACCCTTCATCAAAAGCTGTCTTCGCTCAATACTAATCAAGATCAGATGACCGGACAGAAAAAATCAGCAACAGGGATCTCTTGGAGCGAACCAATCCTTCAGGAAGCAGTTGTACAACAAACATGCGGGAAGAAATGGAGTTAGGTGGTTTGGCCATACTCTGAAGAAATCATCAAGTGACATCATTAGACAAGCCCTCAAATGGAACCCGAAAGGGAAGTGGCGAGTCGGTCGTCCAAGGATGAGACGGAGGAGGTGATGTGAAGGGAAGATGAAAGCATGTGGGCAGATTTGGAGCGGGATGGAAACGTTAGCAGAGGACCGAATGCAATGGAGACGCGCAGCTGAAGCCCTATGTTCCTCTAGGAATTAAAGGAAATAATAATTTATATATAAATATGTATATATATAATTTGGCGGTGGACAGAAACAGACGTATATTGGATATCAGTCTGTAATGAAATCAAAAGCACTATCTTCAATCAACTAAGGACTCATCAACCTACCCGTGTCAAGAACGAAACACACTATTCATCTGAGTGGAAAACAAAATCTTGACACGTACTCAAATAGTACGGCTAGATATTAAATTCCTTGATTTTTTTCTCAGTTAATTCGATTGAGAAGTAGCAATAGTGTAACGACAGAAGAGAACGGCCAGACAACAGTGAGACAGGATTATTTATTGCATGACGTTTTGAACACAATTTATTACTGTTCATAATCATATCAGTCGTAACCATACAACTTCGAAGCTTGAATTTTACAGTTCTCTTGCTTCCTATTCATTTGTCATAGGGGTAGTAGAGTTTTTTGAGATCTCCGGGACAGGTGTTGAATCATTTCTGTTGCATGTATTCCAAGTTGATTCGATAAATAAAGCTTCCATTAACGACCTCCTACTCTCCATCCTGTTATATTAGATCTTGAGACGGTCTGTCATCTTATCCTCTCCTATTCTTTAGCTGTATGTAATAGCATATAGTGTTATTTTCTAAAATTGGCATCCTATTCAAATTAAGTAATCTAGATTTCACTAGGTCTTTGTGCTCTTCTAACCGAACTGATCCTGTACTAATGTAACGTCAGAAGATAAGGGCCAGGCAACAGATCGTTTATTGAGAAAATCAACAGATATTCATAGATTTTTATGTACATCATTGTCAGAGGAGAAACAACGTCTTCCGATTGGTTGTTTTCTTGCTGAAGGTTATTCTATACTGCTTGTGACCATTTCTTAGAAAGTGAAGTCATATATTTACGAAGCGAAGTTGCACACGTTAAGTATGCTGTGATTGGTTGTTGAGTTCCTCAAGGTTATGCTTCGTCATAGTTTTGTGTCGTGACCGCGATTCAGGACATTAATATCGACGTAAATCCGTGTCTAGAATCTTGGCTAGCAGACAGCTTTCATCCCAGTAGTGGTTAGTCACTACAAGTTTACAAGTTTATGCCTCTAGACGGACAGTAACATTTTTTGAGCAAATAAGTCAAAAGTGGATCATTTCAGACGATAATACTAAAGGTTTTGCTCGATATAAGGAGGGTTATCACTTTAATACATGACAATAATGGTAATAATAACTACTACGTAAACTAACGCCAATAACTATGAAAGGATAAAAAATGTTTCTCTTTTTCAAAGATAATATACTCAGATACGACATTAACAGGAATTCTGTGCATTACGTGTGAATGTTTTTCATGTAAAGCACAATTCTAGGTCTAAAATTATAGTGAGTGGTCAACCTCAATGTAAGTGATTTACAAGAAGAAATAAGATTTTAAAAAAGTAATTATTTTTATTATAAAATACTCAAAACGTACTTTCATGTATTATTTATCAGTGTATTTATACATAAAGAAATGTAAAAAATAACTCATTGAATGAAGTATACACATTAGTATGTAATAATATTTACTGTTCTCGGAACTGGATTTGCAATACTGCAATGTTATGAAGTCACATCATGAAATTATAATGGTGTTCAGAAGATACGATTAAACTTTGTCCATAACAGAGAGTTCTTTGATCATTTCAAAATCTAAAAAGTTATCCAGAGGCCATAAACAATTTCATAGAACACAATACCAATCAGTCAGTAATTCTATTTCTTTTAATATCAAAATTCAACTTAAGTGAGTTAGCATACGGTGGCAGTATTATACTTTGATCGTCGTTAACAACATAAACATCTACAACAATAGGACTACGTCGACATGCAGAAGAGCATACATTACTGCCTGATAAACTTGTACCACCACCAGAATAACCAATATTCATACCAGTACTATAGGCTGGATCATTAATAGCCATTGCACCAATCCCTGCACGCATATCTGGATCATAAATAAATCCAACATCTGCATTAGTATGAGCTACAGCAGCTTTTGAACTCTGTGTTGGTGAAACTACAACAGATGAACTGCTTGCGTGTGTTCGACGGAAAAAAGAACAGCCAAGCGTATTATGATTAGTTGAAAATAAACGCGATAAATGCTTTGGTAAACCTCTTTGCCATCTTGGTGGTCTAGGCCGACCATTAGGTTTTGCTATATACAATGGAGGTTCTTTAAAATCTCCAAATGAGTCAGGGCACTCATTGAATATACCGGAATTATCAGGATCGTGTTTGGCTAATTTTCTGGAATGATGACGTGGTAAACCAGTGGCTGGAAATGTTGAAGTGAGTTGTAAAGCTGCATTGCAAAATAGAGTTCCTTTTTTCCACATCACTCCATAACCAGCGAAGTCATGACCACATAGATGCAGTACAGGCCTGAAAGGAAAAGAAACAAGTGATGATTTGCTGTGAGGTACAGTCCCAGAAAAAATTTCTATTTATAATATTTGCAATTTAGCTCATCGTAACAAGAAAAAGATTAGGAGGGGTTGAGAAATATTTATAAAAATACTTAAAAGTTGAACAGCACACGATTTCAGTAGAACTTTTAACCAACCCAACTCGACATCTCCAAAATTTCCTTTAGGAAATAAGTAACAAAGGTTCTCTTTAAATTGGATTTTTTCTGGGATGATTATAGACCCACACTAAATTGTGTGTTCAAAACACCGTAGAAAAACAAATTAGTCTTACGAATCTTTATCAGTTGTGTTTAAATATTCATTTTACTAAAGAATATACTTCAGATTGATTGATATTACATCTTATAAAAACACAGTGATTCAAATGGAACTTTCATTTGGCGACAGAAAAGTAAGCTGCTCATGCATTAGTTTGTAGGGATTTACCTTTCTTTCAAATTTAATCACATATAAGTTAGAGAACCACTGAAAACCAGGGAGTACTGGACAGTTGTCTCATCCTAGTTTAGGACTCATTATCAACGCTTACTCACCACAGTGACCATTGGGGTCCACCTGCTCGAACGATGACATTGATTGGTGCTAGTAGCGTTAAGACCACGAATCGGTAGAAGTAAGAAGTCATAGGCTAGCCAGTGAGCTGGGTCCTAATGGGTGAATGGCATATGAGCTTACCAAGTAACCCAAAGCTCCTGGTCTCGAAACCCAGTGGATGCGTACGGATGATGAGTCCCAAACTAGGACGAAATGGCTGTCCAATACTCTCTGGTTATCAATGCTTCTCTAGATGATATCCCTCCGTGGTTAAACTAAGTATAAGTCACTCCTTAATTAGTTTTGTTTAACTGTCAGTCGCACATTCAACGAACAGTTTAAATGACATGGTAAAAACTCAGTCTAAAAATGATCTCATCCAGTTATCTTATCTATATTGTCAAAAATGGTTATCTTACAACCGAAAAATCTAAGTTTGAGAATATTTAAAACACAGTCGCGTATTTTTTTTAACCTTTATCTTCTGTCAAGCTATCTGATTTAATAAATTTAATTATCACAGTTCATTTTCATCCTCAAAAATATGTCCATCATTAATAGATATATTAAGCACGAACATTTATTCTTTTCCCATAATGAAAGTAGAATGAAAGAACAATAGGTTATTTGCAAAAATAAGCTTAGGAAATAAATAAATACACCTTGTGTATTCCAGAGGAAAACAAAATTGTGATGCACAAATAACTTACTTGAGATACCTATAGACCTTAAGCAGAAATAAAGTGATAGCACCAGTGACAAATAAATGCGTCGATATTTCAATAGTCCGATTCTCGGTAAACGCACTCTTAAATTCGCTTAACAAGCAGTAAAACCTGGAAAAGGGGGAAGGTTGGGCGTGAAGCTAGCAGTACTGATGTTGGCGTGTGTTACAGATGAGATTTATCAGTAGTAATATAAAGAAATCCCCATCGACATTACAATATCAGATGGCAGGGAAATAGATTTCACATCAGAGAAAGCAAATAATTCAGCATTGTGGAGAAACATGGAAGACTTGAAAGAAATACACACACAGTATGAAGGACAAAAGTAGTACTACACCGAACATCTGTGTCAATGATGATTTGGAGATAAGGTGTACATAATTTCGCTATCTGGTGATACCATATGGCGAATAAAGTATTCCTTTACCAAATCTCTTGTCTTCTATCTTTACACCGCTACTGAGATTTCAAAGCCTAAAGCCCTGCGTTCCATTTGGAACTCAAAAAAATGAAAAGTAAAACAAAAGTGAGAAATAAAAAAGAAGTCAGTGTTACCTCCTGGAGTAACCTAATTCCAATCGTCGAAGCTTTTCAAACGAATAAATTACGCATAAAGACTAGCTAAGAGTGAATTACACTGTTAAATAACTTCTTACACTTTATCTAAACTTGTTAAACTCGTAGTGTTTTTAGACTTGATATAAAGAGAGAGAAAAACATAAACCCTGAATATGAAATGCATTACAATTGCACTTTACAATCATACATCATCGAATACTACACCTCGCTTTTACTGTCATTACCCTATTAAATAACTGTGTTTTTTTTGTAATGTTAAAAATGCAACGAATAAAATCTCAATTTTTCAAATACATTTTTTTTATTTCGCCAACCAGCCGAATTCTCACTTTTAAAAAAAGGGAAGAGAACTCGTATGGATATGATACGGTTTATCTAGATTTTTCTTTTATCAGGTATGTCGGATATTACAAAATTTGACAATATAAACATGGGTAGGCTTATAGTAATACTCTATTTGATAATAGATAATACATCAAAGAGACTTAAATGTTTCATTTAATTCACACTAGACTGTTAGTTTTATTTTTTTTAATTAGGAATTTCAAACTGTTAAAATAACCGTACACTTTGAAAAACAATTACTATTATTATTATTATTATTATTATTATTATAGTGAACAGTTAGTTGTAACGTTGGTGAGTATAGACGGCCTGCTTGGATCATTGGGCTATCTGAATTTCAACCCAATAAAATACACATCAGTTTCAGTACTTCTGTTTGTTTTAACCATTCAGTTATACGTCCGTGGGTCACCAAATAGGCTAGCGCATATTTTAATCGGCTTTCAGCCTATCACTGAGTATTTCTCGAAGATTGGTTTGGGCTACAGACCGAACAACATTGTGTCACGTGATATACTATCAATTACTATTCTACTTAACCTTGGGGGCCTGTTCGAATTTTCGGGCCAGCTACTATAATATCTACATTTTGCATCCAGTCTACTGTTTACCAACATATATTTATCACCTTAATATGAATTCTAACAGAATCATTTACTCTCGTAACTTTATCAATCATCTACGACCAAATGACTTTCATATTCCAAAGAAACCAATGAGTAAACATCGTAGTGGTTGGCAGAGAGCTCTCAAGCGTACTCCAATACACTTAACTATGGTCCCCGTCATAATGAACACGAACTGTCGCTCTCTGCCAAACAAGATAATGTACCTACAATCCTTGGTGTCCACTGAGACTTATCATAATACTGCCGTAATCACATTACAAGCAACGTGGTTACACGAACTGTATGATGACAACCTTATCTCACTAAAGGACTTTATTTTATTTCGTCAAGACCGTCAATGTTGTAATAAGAAAAATGGTGGTGGCGTTGCAACTTTTATTCACTCCAAATGGTCTGTTTCTAATAATGTCTGCTTTACCTTCTCAAATGACTTCATAGATTGTATTACTGTCAAATGTCGTCCCAAACATCTCCCCAAATATAAAGAAATCTATATTACAAACATTGCTCCTTTCTTGAAGCACTTGGTCACACAAACATAGTCAAATTTCCCACTCGACTTGACAAAACACTCGATCTAGTTTTTACTAATGATGAAGGAGTATATGAAACACGTAGACGTTCACCGATACTAAACTCAGATCACTGCATTGTCCGTGTTTTACCAAAAATATACAGCAAAACACATATTAAAATCTTCTCACACCTGTCTACGAAAGCACAACAAAGATGCTACACATCTGACAACCTACTCAATCTAAGATGCATGTTAAAAAATACTAACTGGGATTTATTCTATGAAAGTACATTAGATGACTCAATCACCAATATAATGGATTATCTCAAGTTCTGCCTCGACATATGCTGTCCCAAACAAACACTGTTCAAACGCCTCGACCGCTTCTCGTCTCCCAATCTCAAACAACTTCGCAGGCAAAAAGAAATGTTATATAAATGCAAAGACAAGTTAGGACTTAAAAAGATTAATGCTCAAATCAAATCTGAAATCAAAAATCTTAATGCTATCTATAACCAAACACTTTTATCATGCAAATCTCCTATCAGCATGTGGAAATTTTTCAATGAAATTACTGGCAATAGTAAGCGATGTAATGTTTTTCCCTCTTGTGATGTTAATGCTCTTAATCTGTCTTTTATACGCTCTCCTTCTACTATAACCACTTCTAACGTTACCAATCTTGTAGCTGATAACTTCCAGGACTTTAACACTCTTGATGTTTTAAAATGTCTTAAAACTCTTAAGCCCTCATATAGTCTTGGCCCTGATGGCATACCTGCATATGTTCTAAAACAATGTGCAGATGCTTTATGTTCTCCTCTAACTAATATCCTAAATGCTTCTTTCTCCGAAAACGTTGTACCTGTTCCATGGAAAGACATTAAAATAGTCCCTGTCCCTAAACCTGGAAATAGCAAGAACGTAAAGTTCAGACCCATTGCCATCACTTCCCCGTTTCTAAAGCTCATGGAAAAACTAGTACTTCTTAAACTCGAACCCTCCCTTAAAAGCTTCGAAGACCCCAAACAATTTGCCTACAGACAGGGTAGGAGTACTTTAGACGCTGCAGCCGTCTTACACAACAGTATTGTCTCATCATTAGACAAAGGTGCCAAATATGTCCGCTGCACGTTTCTTGACTTCACTTCTGCTTTCGACTCTGTACCTAGATGTCTCTTGCTAAATAAGCTCTCCATGACACAAACCGAGTCCTGGGTCACTAACTGGTTGCATTCCTACTTTTCAAACAGAATGCAGTACACCGTATACAAAGGCGAATCCTCCTCTGCTGTGCTCACTGAAGCTGGTGTCCCCCAAGGTGCTGTACTCTCCCCACTTCTCTTTTTTTCTTTCTACATGACCTACCATCTTCAAATGACATTAACTTTGTCAAATATGCTGATGACCTAACTGTATCTTTACCTGTCAAATGTCAAAGTGACTGCTCTAAACTAAATGGCTTCTTATCAGAAATCAGCCAATGGTCCAAGGAAAACGGTCTCACCTTAAACCCCTCCAAATGCCAAACAGTTAATTTCACCTTTAGGCACAAATCTGACCTAAACAAACTGGTTAGCACTCACGAGGTGTGCAACATAGATGGCACTGAAATAGAAAC